TCCCAAAATATGCATTGGAGAAAAGATAGCCTCCTCAACAAATGGTCCTGGGAAAACTGGATTTTCATCAGCAGAAGACTGACACTAGATCCCAGGTTCTTACCTTGTACAAGCATCAATTCAAAGTGGATTAAGGATCATAATATAAGATCTGAAATGGTGAGATCAATCCAGGGAAAAATAGGGAACACACTGGACCATGTAGTCATAGGAAATAATTTTGAATAGAATTTCAATAGTTCAGAAATTAAGAGAAAGTATGGACAAATGGGACTGTATGAAAGCAAAAAGCTTCTGCACAGCAAAGGCAATGGTCATCAGACTGAAGAGAAAACATACAGAACTGGAGAAAAATCTTTGCTAGCTATGCATGTGACAAGGGATTAATAACCAGAATATACAGGAAGCTCAAAAACTAACCTCTCAAAGAATCAACAGCTCACTGAATAAATAGGCAAATTACTGAACAGACAACTCTCAAAAGAAGAAGTACAAATGGCCAATAAATATATGAAGAAACATTTATGACTATAATGAAACAGAAATTAAAACTACAGTAAGATCCCACCTCATCCTAGTCAGAATGACAACTATCAATAACATAAACAACAAATGCTGGCTAGCATAGATTTTTCAATCTCTGTGATGGATGTCATTGGAATTTTGATGGGTATTGCATTGAACATGTAGATTGCTTTTGGTAGTTTAGCCATTTTTACTATGTTGATTCTACCAATCCATGAGCAGGGAAGATCTTTCCAACTTCAGTAGTCTTCCTCAATCTCTTTCTTCAGTGGTTTGTAGTTCTTCTTGAAGAGGTCATTTATGTCCTTCTTTAAGTTTACTCCTAGGTATTTAATTATTTTTGAGGCTAGTATAAAGGGAATTGTTTTCCTGTATTCTTTCTCAATTTGTTCATTATTGGTGTTTAGAAAGACTACTGATTTTTGTAAGTTGATTTTGTATCCTGCTATATTGCTGAAGCTGTTTTCAAACACAAAAGACTGCAAATAGTCAAGGCAGTACTGACCAAAAAGAGCAATGCTGGAGGTATCACAATACCTGACTTCAACTTGTACTACAGAGCCATAGCAATAAAAACACCATAGTACTGGCACAAAAACATAAGAAGACCAGTGGAACAGAATAGAGGGCCCGGATATGAATCCACACAACTATACCCACCTTATTTTTGACAAAGGAGCTAAAAACATATAATGGAAAAAAGACAGCTTCTTCAATAAACGGTGCTGGGAAAAGTGGCTATATGCCTGCAGAAAACTGAAACTAGATCCATGCCTGTTACCCTGTACTATTATCAACTCAACGTGGATTGAGGACCTTAATATCAGACCTGAAACCTTGCAGTTAGTACACCAAAGAGCAGAGAATACTCTGGAAACAATAGGAATAGGCAAGGATTTCCTCAGTAGAACTCCATCCGCCCAGAAACTAACAGAAAGCATGGACAAATGGGACTACATGAAATTAAAAGTCTTCTGCACAATAAAAGAAATAGTTTCTAAATTGAAGAGACCACACACAGAGTGGGAGAAAATATTTGCTAGCTATACATTAGACAAAGGACTGATAACCAGAATATACAGAGAGCTTGAAAAACTAAACTCCCCAAAAATCAATGAAGAAGTGGGTGACTGAACTAAACAGAACTTTTTCTAAAGCCCTTAACGCAGAGAAACTAAAGCAGATACCTTAAAGCAACTGAGGCCAATAGCAAAAGGGGAACAGGTACTAGAGAAAAGGTTAGATCAAAAAGAATTAACCTAGAAGGTAACACCCACGCACAGGAAATCAATGTGAGTCAATGCCCTGTACAGCTTTCCTTATCTCAACCAGCAAAAACCCTTGTTCCTTCCTATTATTGCTTATACTCTCTCTACAACAAAATTAGAAATAAGGGCAAAATAGTTTCTGCTGGGTATTGTGGGGGGAGAGGGAGGGGGCGGAGTGGGTGGTAAGGGAGGGGGTGGGGGCAGGGGGGAGAAATGACCAAGCCTTGTATGCACATATGAATAATAAAAGAAAAATGAAAAAAAAAAAAAAGAAGAAATCCAAATAGTCAAAAAAAAAAAAAACAATGAAAAAATGCTCACCATCTCTGGCCATTAAAGGAAATTCAAAACCACACTAAGATTCCACCTCACTCCTGTTAGAATATCTATAATCAAAAACACCACCAACAACAAACGTGTGGATGATGTGGGGAAAAAGGAACCCTCATACACTACTGGTGGGGATGTAACCTAGTACAACCATTATAGAAAACATTATGGAGGCTCCTTAAAAAACTAAACATAGATCTATCATGTGATCCAGCAATACCACTCCTAGGGATATACCTGAAGGAATATGACTCAAGTTATAACAAAAGCACCTGCACAGCCATGTTTATTGCAGACTATTCACAATAGCCCAGCTATGGAAACAGCCAAGATGCCCCACAACTGACGAATGAATCAAGAAAATGTGGTATTTATACACAAGAAATTTTGCTTAGCCACAAAGAAGAATGAAATTTTATCATTTGTAAGTAAATGGATGGAACTAGAGAACATCATCTTAAGCGAAGTTAGCCAGGTTCAGAAGGCTAAAAATCTCATGTTCTCCCTTATATGTGGATTATAGACCCAAAACAAATGTAGTAATATATTATTGGACATGGGTCATACACTAAGGGGAGAACATGCACAGGAGAAATATGGAAAGGAAAGGAAGCCTAAAACTTGAATGTGGTTGATGTGCTCCCTGTTGAGGAGCGAATAAAGTAATCTTAAATTACTAGAGGCCACTATGGGAAGGGGATCAAAAAATAATGAAGAGGTCTGGTAGAAATGAACCAGTGTGGGTTGCAATTCACAAGTGCATGGAAGCAACACTAGGAATCTCTCAGAATAGCTATATTTATCCCAAACTAGCAAAAATGCTGTGTCTTTCTTATTATCTCTTATGTTTTCTCTTCAACAAAATTGGAGAAGAAGAGGGCGGAAAAGGCTCTGCCTGGAAGTGGGGAATTGGAGGGGTGAAGTGGTGAGCGGGTAAGAGGCGGGTGGCACAAACAATGTATACACATGTAAGTAAATGTAAAAATGGTAAAATGAAAGGAGAATAAAAAAACCCAAAAAGCAAATGCTGACTAGGATATGGGGAAAAAAGGAACACTTCTCATTGTTGGTGGGAATGAAAATTAGTGCAACTGCTGTGGAAAGCAATATGGAGGTCCCTTTAAAAATCTCAAAATAGAACTACCATAAGATCCAAGGACCTGTAAATTTAGAATTTAGGGAAGTATTTTCTGGTAATTAGTGAAATAGTGACATGATGTTTCTTATATCTTCCCACAGAGTTTCTTCCAAAATACTCTTCTTGATGCACTTTTGGAAACCCTTTCAACTTAGATGGCAACATAAATGGGGTAAAATACTGCTATTGTGTTACTATCAGTCCTCTAACATGCCTTATTTTATAATTTTTCCCATGCTGATGTTTCACAGATTAGGTTTGAGACTTTTTGAGTGCAGGAAATGTGTTCAGGGGTCTTTTACTTTCTATTTTTCATTGGAAGGCCAAACATAATTAAGTATACATATAGATGTGCTGATGAATCAAAACTTTTTGGGGAAAAGTTCTTATTTATAATGTTTGTGAATTCCCATAGTGGAACTATTCTCATTATGGTGATTTCAAGATGATATGATATCATTGGAAAGAGATGAACACAAAATAGTTCTTGCAAGCTGGAGTGTGCTGGCTCCATACACTGCTGCCCCTAGTGTGTGTGTGTAATGCATGGACATCTTTCCTGTCTATCACCACTTTACCATAAACTTGATTCTCATAAATTTTATTGACATGCAATTGATAGGACTCCCATCAAGTTTACCTCTTTATTTTCCTCTAACATTTTATGTAAAATAGTTATTCCAAGAACTTTTCAGGAACCAAACGTTTTTGGTTCAGCTTTGTTCCACCATTTATAACTCTTTTTCTTAGTTCTTGGTTAGAAAAGGGAGCCATGGCACTTTTGAAGCCTGACATTTTATGAAAAATGATGACATATTTATCTTTGTTTCTGTGGAAGAGTACATAGGTTTCATCAAATTCATAAAGGCCATTGTGTAGAAAAAGGATAAGAATTTCTAAATTTCCTTGCATGCGACTTCAAGATATCATTTCTAGTTCTCTAAAGCCCCCATATCCTGCATTGAATTAAAAAATATGCTTAATTTCTGAAGCATTTCTTTAGACTGCCTGTCCATCATTGGATAATGGCTTAATGTTATGTGACATGAATGATCTTTTTCTACCCTTCTATTTTATGTATTATCCATAAAGAAAACAAGCTAAGGTATACTCTGAAAATACTAAAAAAATCTTTTCAGAAATATCATGGATCCATGGAGATCCATAGATCAAAGTCTAGTTTTGATCTTAAAATATTTTTCCTAAATGCTTTGGACAGAGTTTGCAATATAGCAGTCTAGATTTAAATCCCAATTTTGCTTTATGTTAGTTGTGTGGCCTAAATGTCTTTAGATATAAATTAATTATCAATGCATATTTATGTAACTAAACATAAATAGGTATAGTAATACACATAAATATATAATAATATCAGTTAATATATTTATAAAGCATTTATGTATTTATTTATTAGTAATGCTATGCATTTCACGAGATTGTTTTGAAGAATAAGTGGAATATGTTTTAGAAATATATAGTAGGATACCTAATATAAAACAACCAGGAAATGTTGGATGCTGTATTATTTTCATTAGTTTATTATTATTTTCCTTTCTCTCTTATTAGACTATCATATTCTTGGTGTAACATATCATACTTATATTTTGTGATTGTAAACATAGAATCTTTATTAATAAATGAAAATATGAATAACTATAACCAATAATAACCTACCAGCACTGCTTTTCTATAGTGAAAATCTTTTATATCAAGTTTGTTTCAACTTTTAAAATGTCTGATTATTTTGTAAGGAGAAGACTAAATATAGTCCCACGGATCTGTTTTGTTTTTACACTATAGATGATGGGGTTCAGCACAGGGGGTAAAAGCAGGTATACACTGGCCATAATTGAATGGGCCACTTTGGGGGCAGAGTGACCATAGCGATGTATCAAGGACAGGCTCATCATGGGGATGTAGAAAACAGCAACTGCTCCGATGTGGGAGATACAGGTGCTAAAGACCTTGTACCGTTCTTTGGGGGAGGCAATATTGAGGACAGAGCGAAGGATCAAGATGTAAGATAGCACAATGCATGGTGTATCTATCCCTGTTGTTAGAAGGAGATCAACCAATCCAAAGGTGCTTGTTGGCCTGAGTGTCTGAACATGCTAATTTAATCACATCTGGATGGTAACAGTAGGAGTGGGAAAGTGTATTCATTTTACAGAAAGAGAGAGGCTTAAGGAGCAAAAGTAGAGGAACTATTAATAACACACTTCGTATAATCACTAGGAGACCCATCTGAATGACTCTGGAATTAGTAAGAATTGTAGTGTACCTGAGAGGGTCACAGATTGCTACATAGCGGTCAAAAGCCATAGCCACGAGCACACCAGATTCCGTAAAAGTAAATCCATGAAGAAAAAACATCTGGATAATGCAGGCATCTAGAGTGATTTCTCTTGCATTAAACCAGAGGATACCCAGTGTTGTTGACATTGTAGAAACAGTCAAGCCCAGGTCGGTGGCTGACAGCATGGAGAGGAAATAGTACATGGGTTCATGGAGACTGTGCTGGGTAGTAATGACAAACAGGATCATGCTGTTCCCAGAGAGGGCAATGGCATAAAAACAACAGAAGGGGATGGAGATCCAGGCATGGGCAGACTCTAGGCCAGGAATGCCAGTCAATGAGAATGTTGGGAATTTAGATGTCAAGTTACTCAGTAATTTCATGTTTTACTGGATTTGTAGCATTTGTCCTTACACATGCTGTCATCCTATAGAAATAATAAATTACACTGTTATTAAAAACATTTAGATAAGTTTTGATTTGGAAAGTTATCTAAGGTAATAGATAATGTCTGTATTATAGAAATTAATCCAGATCAAAGTATAATATTCATCTATCTATCATAATTTTGGATATTAAGAGAGATTTAAGAAGTTTTACCCTTAAGCCAAAGAAAAAATAGGTTCATATAATTTTACACTTCTTTATGATAATTATTTTTTATTTTGATAGATTTGTAAAGCTCAGATTCTATATGTGAAGGCTTAAGCATTCATTGGACCATAAAAAAAGTAACTGCTCTAATGTGGAAGACAACAGTAGCTAAAGACAGAAAAATTGATGCACTGAAATTTGAATATGTTGTGTGTAAAATGAGTAAGAGATATCCACTTAAATATATCCATGTGTCTACAATGTTTCTATGGATGCAAATTTCCAGACACAGATTTATCATTTTGACAGTATCTAGGTTTGGAAATTGTTACTGTATATGTGTCATTTTAATCCCACATTATGGGTAAGAAACCAGAGAGAATGAATTTTAAAGGGAAACCCAGGAAATCAGAGATCTGTAGAAGTTTTTCCCCTCATCGTAGGTCAGAGCTTTATGGAAACCATGTAAGTCAAGAGACAGGTGTCATTGTCATGACCAGTTGTTACGTGGACATCAGAGATGAATTTTCTTATGCAGAAAAGAATGGTAATGATTAAAAAATTCAAATGTAATTTAGAGCATGTTGGTAACCCTAGGAAAAGCAGGTGAACTTGAGCTTGAAAACTGACAAGCTGTAACAGTGGCTGGGGGAGTGAAGAGCAAAGTAAGTAGGGGAGGTATGTTATATTTTATTTCTCCAAACTTGGTAGTGAAGGCAGGGAGATACAGGTACCATTACTGGTATTGTTTTCTTTAGTGGAAGGAGGGGGAGTAAGGAGAGGGTGACAAGTGGGTGAATATGATAGAAGTAATTTTATATATGTATGAAAGCATAGTGAAACCCACAAAATCTTTTGAAAGAGTGGGGGAAGGAGAGGAATTTAAGAAAGAGAAAAGGACTTTGATCAAAGTATACATAAATATCACAATGAAAATCCTTAGTACAATTAATTTATGTTAATTTTTTTAAATAAAGAAGGCTGTAGGTTGGATAGAGGATTTTTGAAAGGGGGAGACTAAGAGGATTGATAAATTCATAAACTGTGCTTAGAGATACAGTAGTGAAAAATTAAATTACGGAATTAATTATATATATGTATGAGAATACAATCATAAAAAATGTTGAATTTCTTTTAAGAATGAGGCGTGAGCAAGGGAGAGGGATAGAAGGAGTGAATTTGATTGGGTTATATTGTATGCACACATGGAGGTAGCATGATGAAATCCCTTTGTATGACTAATATATATTATTAAAAATGTGAAAATGTGTAGTGAGAGGATTGAATTGATACACAAAAGCCCTTGAGAAAGTACTAGGAGACTGAATATAGAATATGATAGTAATTACCTCTCAAAAACATGTGCAGCAACATTTTCATTGACACTAGGGAGTAAGTGGATAAAATGGAAAGTTTGGTGGGAAGTCAGTGAGAGAATTGTCACTCAATGATCTACCTTTCTCTTTGTGAATTATTAGGGGAGTTTTACTGCTAAACAGGAAGTATGAAGTGATGGATGATAACTTGAGGATAAAGTAGAGGTTTTCAATAGAGAAGGGATGAGAAAGGTTGTTGACTTTGTAGACACAGTAATGTTATAGAGCCTTGTTCAACTAAAATTCTAAAATATCTTAAAGTAGTAGATTTTCATTGCTAAAATAAATTATAGGAAGACTAAAATCAAATAATAGCAGCCTTACTTACAATGCTCATGTTTTTCAGTAAAGCATTTAAGATACTAGGTAATAGAGGGAGGAGTTTACTTCATGATAGTAAATACTTTGTAAAAGTATACACATTGCCACTGTTTTCACGCTACATTTTGTTGTTTCTGTTAAACCTCTAGTTCCCTAAGTTTCACTTTAATTTGAACAATTTCATTAAAATATTTAAGTCTAATTTTTAGATAATGTTACATGGGTCCCTGAAGACAAGGTAGACTCTCATGTTAATTTCCTTTTTAAGCATTTATAAGTAGGTAACAAAGGACATAGTCAAGAAAAGGAACATCTCCCTCTACCTTACCAGTATGATATGGTGCCTTCTTTGTCATTGATAGTAGATACAGAAAACACTACAGTTTTGAAGCTATGGAATTTATAGTGATCTAAGATTGAACTGTGGGATTACAGTAAGATGTGAGTCTCTCTGGGGTCATGTTCAAAGAAATACCAAAATCCATCTCTGTTTATCTAGAAATAGAAGGCAAACTGCAGAATCCCAGGAGGATTTAACTCAAGGAATAGTGGTGAGCAAGGAAAATAAAATATTAAAGAAAGGAGATCACATCTATACAGTTGGCCCTCCATATTGATGTGCTATGTATCCACAGATGGAAAGTATTCAGAATAAAAATTGCACACTTATTGAACAGGTTGTAACTTTTATTTTGTCATTACTCACTAAACTATGAAGTCTATTTACATTATTCTAAGTATTATAAGTAATTGACAGATGACTTACCCTATTCAGTTGATGTACATGGGCTATATGAAAATACTATACCATTTTTATAAAGGATTTGAGCATCTGTGAATTTTGGGAGTTCTGGAACCAATTTACCATAGATATTGAAGGCTAACTGTCAATGGTAAGTTTAGACATGTTCAAGTTACTAGAAAATGGAGAGATGCATATCATTATCTCTGAATTATTAGTATCACATGAAGATAAGAAAGCAAACCATTGTTCACTATAATAATTATGACAATGAAGAAAAAATAAAAAATTGTACCCCAGTCTCTAAACCCTTTATGCTTACACTGTTACATGGACTCATATGTTGTATGATATATCCATCCTTAAATGCATCTGTCTTCAGCCACCTCCCAGGTTTTCCCCAAGAAATGGATCATCTCCTGATCACCTAATATATTAATTGGTCCCTATTTGTCCAGTGCCTGGGGTCACTGAAGTAGATGGCAAGTACTCATGTGCATGTGTAGTTGATCTCGTTCTTGCTCTTTTACTGCAGTTATAGATTTAAGAGCCTAGACTTGTGGGAGAGTAGGGTCATCCTTATCAACATTAGCAGTTGAGTAATGAATATAGAGAACTTCGCAGTTTAGTAATTTTTACTGCCACAGAAGCCTACAATGTACTTTGAGCAAGTTCACCCTCTCTGTTGTATTCCCTTAACTCTACTTTTTCAAACAGTGTTTGGTGATTTTCATTATGCTGTTTTCGTATACACACATATCTTGCTCAATATGATGATATCCAGTTCTATTCATTTTCTTGAAAATGATGTTTGTTCTTTTTTATGGATGAATATACTCTGTAATGTAAATATACCATATTTTCTTTTCTTTTTTGTGGTACTGGGACTTCAACTCAAGGCCTACACCTTGCACCACCACACCAACCCTTTCTAGTGATGGGATTTTTTGAGAAAGGGTCTTGTGAACTATTTGCCTGGGCTGGCTTTGAACTGTGATCCTCCTGATCTCTGCCTCCTATGTAGTTAGGATTATAGGTGTGAGCCACTGGTGTCTGGCTATACCACATTTTCTTTAACCATCCATCAGTTGTTGGACTCCTAGTCTGATTCAAAGTGATTCACTATTGTGAACAGTGTTGCTATAAACATGGGTGTGCATGTATCTCTCTTACTTGTTGAATTGCACCACGTTAGCTACATGCCCAAATATATACGGTGGTAAGGTAGGACTAGAGGACTAATTTTAGTTTTTTAATGAACCTCCATACTGATTTCCGTGGTGGCTACACTAGTTTCATTCCCACTTTGTAGGGTATGAAGATTTCTTTTTCCTTTGTATCCTTTCTAGCTTTTGTTGTTTTCTTGATGATTGCCATTCTTACTTGAGTGAGATGGATTCTCAGTATAGTTTTGATTTGTATTTTCTTTATGGTTAAAGATGTTGAACATTCTTTCATGTACTTATTAGGCATCTGTACTTCTTCTGACAACTGTCTGAACAGGCCTGTGGGCTGGGCCTTAGTTTGCAAATCTAAGTATCTTCTTCTACCCCATCCCAGTAATTATCTTCTACTTTTATACCAAAAGTAATTACTATCCTGACTTCCCATATTCTAGATTACCTTTATCTATAATTTGCAGTTTTGAAAAAATAAAATCTAAATCTATAAATTGAATAATGCAGCATGCAAGCTTTTGTGCCTGGTTCTTTTTACATTATGTGTTTAAGATTTACTCATGGTGTGTATAGTACATTTTAATTCTTAGAATTTTAAAAATATACTCAAAATTATCAGTTTCTTTTTCTGTTGCACTCGGGTTTTGGCTATAAATTATGCACATCATCACGTCAGTCCTTTTGAGCATACATGCACACGTGAGCATAAATTTTTGTATATTTGGAATGAAATTGCTGAGTCATCTTTGAGATACTGCCAGATTTTTTGAAATTATATAGCAATCTACATCTTTACTGGTATTTGATGCTATCAGTATTGTTAATGTTAGCCACTCATGTGGATTTATAGTCTAGCTGATTTTGGTTCCGATTTTCATTTTCCTAACTAATGATGTATACTTTTTCATATGCTTATGGCACTTTGAATAAGTTTCTTATGCAGTGTCTGTTCCAAACTTTTCCTCATTTTCCCATGGGCCTTTTTTTTCTTGTTGATTCTAATGGGGCCATCTGGTGCCCCATTTTATTCCCTCCTGAGGGAATAGAAAGCCAAGTTAGGTGCCTCCACTGTCTCCCAGGACTCTGCATTCCTCCTGTTCCTCACTTTCAGGTCTTCAGAGAGATACTAACATTAGGGTTTTTTAAAAGCTTGTCTTTCTGATGAAATGGTTACTTAAGTAACTTGTTTTCAG